ATATATAGCACTTTTGATGTGTACATTTGCAAGAATGTCACTTAGTGTCCATTGGCAAAAATGCCATTAATTATAAATTTTTAAAGCCTAAATCTTAAAATTATAAACCCTAAAAAATGTTTTGACCCCTAAAACCCCTTAAACCCTCAAAACTAAACCCTAATACAACATAGTTAACCCAAACATATATGATATAATTAAATTTTTTTTTTTGAAAAATGGTTCTTTTGCAAAGATTTTGAAAATGTGGTATTTTTGAAAAGTGCCACTTGAAAAGTGGCATTTTTAAAAAATTTTCTTAAATTATTATACTTTTTGATTTGACACGTGTACAAACATATATAAAATAACTTCCCAAGTTTATAACAACAAATATAATTATTCTTTTGAAATGTTTCTTTTAACGCAAGACAATTTGAAAGTAATGAAAAAAATTAATTCGAAAGCCAAATTTAACATTTTTTTTTAATTTGTGTATCATTTATAAAATTTATAATTTTGTATTTTAATGTTTTAAAATGTTAAGTAATTTATTTGTATTCTAAATACTACTTAAGATATTCGGACAAGCCAAATTTAACATTTTTTTTATCTGTAATGTATTAAAATAATTAAATTATTATACATTTTGACTTGACACATTTACATATATAAAATAATTAAATGGTAAAACTAAATTTATGAAATTTATATTATTAATAAAAACGATATTATTGACCAAAAAAATTAACAACAAAAGAATCAACAATTATGTCTATAATAAAAATCAAACAACTACATATTTCACATTTTTAAAAACTAAAATTAAAAACAAAATTACATAAATAATTTATCCGCGTGTACGTGGGAAAATCACCTAATATCCTTCTATATTGACTTCAAAAGAATTTTAATGGAAATAATCCCACTTGTGTCGTGTTAATTTTATCTTCTTGCATTGCTTATAATTAATACTAGAAGCGAATTTCACTCCGAAACCATAGTCATGCAAATACTTTTTGTCTTTTTGTCACCCGCGCGCATTGAACAACGATGACATGAGACGCCTTTTTTCACACTTGTATTGTGATGTGAGGAAGAGTACAAAATGGTTGAGCAATTACAAAGAGATTCGCAGATATAAAAGAGAAACAAAATTGATAAAGATGGACACTAATCAAGAATATAAGCAGATTTGGGGAACAAGAAGCCTTATTGACTGAGAAGCAGATTTGAATATGAAACCTAAGACTAAAAAAAAACGAGGTTCATGCAAAGGTAGAAATTGATGGATTTATTCGTGCAATTCCAAAGACTGAAAAATGAAATTAATGTTGGGTTTCAAACTTAAAATAAAAAAGTTACAAGATTCAGAATGAGATTACATTTATTACCCACTGGTTAATAGTCATCTCTGCTAACCAACAAAAATAAAGAATAAACTTAATGACAAAATAAATTAATTGACGAGTCTCAAAACGTTAGAACATTATCACCTCGCAGAAGGATAGATAGGCGATGCATAGAGAGCCTTTTGCCCTGTCCACACGACCATGCCAGATTAGACAAATAAGAACTTTGATCATCTCTCAGGTAAAATCTTTTATTGGCCAGTCTTAGCACGCTTGCTGTTGAAAGGAGACAT